CTGGCATCCTTCAGCTCACCAGTTCTCTTTTCACACTGTAGCTCTGCTACAGCTTGCATATATACTGCTTTGTTAGACTAACCCTGCTGTGTCTATGCTGCCAAATCTCTCACCTACAGCGGGCTCTTTCAGTGCATCCTCGTATGCCTGAGCATGAATGTTAGCTAGCATTCAGTCCTTTAAATTGTGCTGTGGAGGACTACTCCTGGCACTCCGATCACTCCCTGCACCAGGAATTATTTATATCTCTCAAGACATCCTTCACCAGACAGCCCAGTATGGCTGCATACACCAGTATCACTATCCATGCCCTACTGCCACAACAGCACAAAATGAGTGCAGCAACAATTTGCCTCCCACCTAAAACAAGAAGATGACAGGGGTGGAGGCACACACCTGCACCTACAGACCAACCAAGCTCTTTGGAGTCTGCAGACAGCACTCCCCTCTGTTTAGATCCCAAGTCCAGCTTTCTCAGCCACAAAATGAAATATTCCTCTGGAAATCAGCAACCTGGCAGACTGATGTGATGAGGTCCAGCCGACATCACTCATCAGAATCATGCATGTGTGCCTCCTCTCTGCAACCATGTGGCTGTAGTTACTCTTCTCCCTAGCCACATGTCCCTGTAGCTGAGACATCAGCCATGTTGGTCTCTTTGTTCTCCCGCAGGACTGTGTAGCCCCAGCTGTGAGCATGTGGAAAAACACACAGAAAGTCATTTGGGATTGTCCCAGGACAGTCTGCCTGTGGCTTTGGGATGCATACAGCAGAAGCCTCTAGCCCATGTCCATCAGATCTCTTGGTATTTAGTGTCATCCTCCACCTTCCAGCTTTACTTCTGTTTATCAATCACTCCATGCAAAGCCCCTTTCAGGATGGTCTGGGCATTCAGTGCAAAACTGTCTTGCTAAGAAGGATTCCTTAGAGAGAGGTGTGTGAGCTGCAGGTGCTCTGTGCACACTCTCCCCAGATGAGAGAATTGCCTTCCCCGGGGAAGCTTGGTTCAGGTCTCCACCATTACCAAGAAATGACAGCCACAGGCAGGCTCACAATGCTTGACAGTACACCATTTTTCAAGACTTCCTTAGGGATGCTCCCTGCAGCCTGGCAATCATAAAATAGAGTACCCCCTGTCTTCGAGCTATTATCCAGCTCCTCTAAGGAGAGAGCTCCAAGAGCTCATCTAACAATTTATCAGCCTAAGCCTGTCATTTTGGAAAACGCAGGTAGAAATCCTGAAACTTTATGTTACCAAAGAAAAAGCTTGCATTTGTTTAGGGGCTATAGGCAAACAAGCATTTAGAGATCTGCTGAGTACCTATTTTTGTGCCAAACATGGCCAACAGTCCACCTTCTTGCTGCTCTTCTAAGAGGACAGCCAGACCATCTTTCAGGATTAGCAACCACGAGGGGCATCTCAAAAGGTTTGTGGGATACAAAAAATTCATCAGCACTCAGGCTCCCATCTTATTTAGGAAAAAGAAAAGGCTCTGCGTACCTGATTAAACTGGTTCCTCCACAGAAGTTCTGCTAGGAAGCATGGAATACAGTAGTACATGTATTTCTGGATTGATAAGCTCTGTGACCATGAGAGGTTGTTTCATCAGCTTCCATATCTCCATACCTGCTTTAGCTGCACCTTTAACTGCAGATCTCTAAGTGGTCTGATATCACTTAACAAAGGAAGGTGTTCTACTTTGCAGTTTTAGATTGGTAAAATTGCCAACAGGTAACAACACCCACCCCTTTTCTGTTGTTCTATAATTTCACAGTGCCAAGAGAAATAAGGAAAGGATGAATTGAACACTTTTCTGAATAGATAGGAAATGGCTCATCTCATATTTCCAAAACTCCATTATGAAACATTACACAATATAGTAAATATCTGATGAAGATGCATTTGATTTGCACAGCCCAGATTTATGTAAGTACACATTTCTAACAGGAAAGAGAGAGCAGCAGCCCAAAATGAATAGAAGGCAGCGAGAGATTTTTAATAATTTTTACCTAAGAGCAAATGCCTCTGTGCATACATTACTTAAGGAGCCACTTTCCTGGAGCTGTGTACAAGAACTGCTCTTTTTAAACTACTTTAACTATCCCCTATTCTTGATGCATGGAAAAAAACCCTTATAAATTCTTTCATATCAATGTTCTTGGTGTGTAAAATAAACCTTTTAGGATGTTTTTCAGCTCTGCATCACCTTGTTTTTTCCCTGTTAATATATTTTTCTGCAGCTTTTCAGGTATCTTTCAACAGAATCTCCTTTGGCAAAAACTTGATTGCCTCAGGATAAGAGTCTTGTTTTACCTCCTAGACATCGTGGAACTAGATTGACCCCTCATTTTGCCTTTCCAGGGCAGGTCTGTTTGCCTGCTTTGTATGAGATGGGCAGGTACAGAACCTCTGGGGTACTTCCCACCCACCTTTGTCAAGCAGCCTCAGAATCTGTACCTCAAACTACCCAATTTTTCCTCAAATCCTGTTTTCTGGAAAAGCATGCATTTGCTGCTGAAAATGATGCTTCTCTTCACTACGTCCTGTTTTCCAGCCACCTTTTTACCAATGCAGTAAGTGGCTTAGAAATAAATCACCTTCTGTAAATAAAAAAAAATCAAACTATTTTATTTTCTCAGAATCTAAGGCCAAAGACTTTTTTTTTTAAATTTTCATTAGTGATGGTGATGCATAGGACACACATCTCCAGGGTTTTTATATGAGAAAAGGACGTACCAACCAAGTTCCTTACAGACATCTGTAGCTACAGACCTGCTGGTCTGTTAAGTGCAGCCTGTTTGCTCACTTTTCTCTACAGGATTTTCCAAGTGTGTTATCTTCATTTCAACTTAACATTTTTCTTAGTATGCTTTAGTTTATCAGGTCCACATCTTCTACAATTGTACTGAGTCTGAAATCATGCTTTTCTGTCATTCTTTCATCACATTCAGACATCTGCACATTTTAGCATTTTCTTGGCTAAGCCTTAAAATGACCAGTGGTAGCCTGAGAGAACAGTGTCTCCTAAAATGCAGGCTGAATTACTACATGAATGGGAGCATGTACTAAGTTGTTTTTTCCTAAAGGAATCTGCTGCACACTGAGGGTATCACAATAATAATAAAACAACCACAACAACAACACCACCACCACCAGAAAAAAACACCAAACCAATTCTCCCCCCTATAAACCACTCCCATACTAAAAAAAAAAACCAAAACCCTCCCCATATCAGTATCAGTCTTCTCCTCTTGTTGTCAATTATCTAATTCGTAAATATATATATATTTTTTTTAATCTGGTTTTTGTAGAGTCACAAAGAAAGCATCTTGTCTGACAGTTCTGCTATTGATTATTTTCAGAGCTATCCATGTTTTGGGGTTGGGTTATTTTGTTATGCTTGGGGTTTTTTTCTTGTTGGTTTGTTCAGAGATTTTTTTTCTCTGCATAAAGATTAAAAGAACTGTTTTGGGGGCATGAATCATACCTCAAATTTACTTTTTACAGATTCTGTGCTACACACAATTTAGAACTTCTTTGTCCGCTGGGATATCCTCAAACATTTTCTCACCCATTTTGGTTTTCTTAGTCTCCAGTGAGACCACACACATTGATACATTTTAAGAGTCTTATATTTTTAGCCCTGATACTATTACAAAACATAGTACTTTATAAAACCCTGCAGGACCGCAAGTCCAAAAGTTGTTCCTGGCTGACACAGGCTATCAAGTACCATTTTTTTCCTTCCACTACAAACTTCCAAACAGGCTCAGGCAGCTAATGGGAAGATGTACCCTTTTACCCTTTTGAAGAAACATGTTAGTGTTCTGGGCTCTCTGTGAGTAGTAGCCAATTTATAATTATTACACACCCCAGAGAATACAACACATTGATGTTTGCTTCACTTGGCCTGTAACTCAAGTCAGATAAGCATTTCTCTATAAAATCCACACCATCAGATAGGGTTCCGAGTATTAGAGCTTCTGACACTATAAAAATCAATTAAATGCATGGTTAATCTACTTACAATACAAACAAATCTCAAAATTCTTTCTTCCTTTGTCCAAGCCCACATTCATATCTCTAGGTACTTATTTAAATCTTATAGTCAGGTGAGGTTTGAATGTGTAAACTACTACACAGGTGAACCAACCTTGTTAAGCCAGTTACTGTCATCTAAACTACAGCTATCAAGCAGTTTTCCTCAGCTTGCTCTGTTTAAGATAAAATGAATAGGCTACTGCTCTCCCTTAAAGAAACTATTACTGCTGTTGGCCCCTCAGACTGTAGTGCTGGTGTTTGGAGGCAGCTCTCATCAATACCCCACGTTACTGATGGGCTGAAACACCTGCTCAGCTCCCTCAGTGGAGACAAGCTGGATGCCACAAGCACATTGCAGGTAATGGTACTCAAATGTCCCTGCTAGACCTCTAGACACTGCATACACTTGATGAGAGGAAGTCACAACTAACTTCACCCTGTGAAATAACCTCCTCATGAATATTTGTGAGGGGGAGTTAATGAAAATAGAGCTTTTGTCTTACTCAAAAATGTCATGTAACCTCAAAAAAATTTGCACAGAATCTCATGTAACCTCAAGCTTGTATACACAAATGGAAACAGATAATGTTTCAGCTTTGCTCATAAAAACATGTGATTTCCAAGAAGCAACAGTAATCACGCATTTTCTGAAAATCAAGATTTCTAATGCAAAAGCAGGTCTGTCTAAAGACAGAATTTTCTCTCTAGCAACAAGGCTAAATAAAACAGCCAGGCATCTGTGAACATGAAGAATAAGGAAAAATAGGTCTCTCATTTCCAAATCAGCAGCAGTGCTTGCATTCTACTTTAGTTAAACAACAGGAGCAGCAGTCATAATCTCTCTCTGTGGAGGAAACTGTAAAACTATAAGCTATCGTTTGCAGAAAAGAACTGTAAAAATTTTCTAAAAAGGGTGTTTTAAGGTGTGGAAAAGTTTGATTTTTTTTTTTCCACATACCTGCTTCATGAGCTCAAGAAAAGACTGAAGAATATTCTTGACACTGATCTGGCTTCCTGTGTCTTAGGAGTTCAGGTAGACCTGATTCTGTCCATGTTCAAATGTGAAATGATCTCACCCTGCAGTCATCTTTTTGCACACACAAAGGACCTTCTTCCTCCCACTGTCAGTCAGTGATAAGAAAATGAGAAACAGGTAAGCACATGTTGCAATTCCAGGCACCTCTGCCTAGGAAATAGCAGCTGTTATATATTCTTTCTTCTCCACTGGTGCATACCAATTTGTGGGTATGGCTGGAAAGCAAGCCTTCGAAGCCAATTATGAAGCAGGATATGCAGAGCAGACCAACAAAAGGGTGCCACTGCTGGAAGAGTTCTGTCAGCTTTTCAAAGTATCTTTGACACACCAGGAACTTTTCTAAATACATCTGGGACAGAGATGGGAGAAATAGCTTTCAATATACATCTATGAATGTATGTCGACAAACACAAATATATATATTTATACACACACCCATTTTAATGTACCATCCATGCTCTCTTTCTATAATGGACACAGAACAGCCAGTATTTTTTCTGCATTCACACAACTCTTAAGTTCCTCTGAGTCAGACATTCCTGTAGCTCTTTGAAGATGTCAAAGAACCCTGCTAGTCAGTCTTCCTCATCCACAATGAAACTAGAGTATCAGTCAAGGTTTAAAAAGTTAGCTTCAAACATAAATTAATATATTGCAACCACATTTAATTTGTCATTAAATAAACAGAATGCATGTTTTAATCCAGATATCTATGGCACACAGGTATGCACACACCATTTACACAACAGTAAGAAACCATATTAATTACATTGTCTTATCAATTATTATTGTCTTTCTGGCAATGATAAAAGACAACCTGGTCAATCTGCCTCCTCTGTTTCTGGCTCTCTGTCTTAATAACTACAAAGCATTTCTGAGACATATCTGGACCCTAGAGGGAAAGGACATTTCCTGGAACATGGGAATTCATCTTGTTGAGAGTATCTCAGTAACCATGATGGGTTCATCTACCAAAATGTCATTTTCATGAAGAGCCACTGTTCTAAAATGTGTGTGCATGTTAACTAGATGTTATTTCAGTATGTTAGTGGTATTGTCACTATTCTGTGCTGTCTATGTAAAATGGAATAATAATGTTTTTAACCTTTGGCTTGTTATTTCAAAGTACAAATTCTATGCCACAAAAAGGACTGGACAAGTAAAATTGCTAGAGCTAGCCCTCAATCTCAAAGAGTGCTCCAGATGCTCTTATCAAATATTCCAGACACAAACAAAAAATAAAGTTTCACTTTGTTTCCTTTTATTCAGACTTTTAAAATACAGTCACAGAGTTTGAAAGTCCCATTTCCAAGAAACAAAACAAGAAACAAAAATAAATTCAGCAACAACCCCTTATCACATGGTAAAGACCTTTCCTGAATATTCCAGATTAAAATAGCCTTGGGATTTAAGTGTGTTATTCTATGTTGATGCAAGTCAACCTCTTTAGACATCAAATGAAAAGAACCATGGCACAATTACTATTCTGAGACAGAAAACAAAGAAAAAAACAGAGGGGGAAAAAAAGAAAAAAAAAAAGAAAATCTCAAAGCAACAAAAAATATTTTGGAAGAAAAAAAAAACATTAAAATCACAATAGACAACCAAAATCAGTTTTCCATCTGCCATACATTGTTTCAAAATGAAACAAAACCTGTTGAGTTCATCAAAGTAGAAAGTACTTTACTGCTACAGCCTCCAGAGCACTGTGAATCTAATCACTGGGAAACAAAAAAAGAATGCAATGAATTAGCTGGGAAAGGATAACTGGTTTTCATTTATTTTACTCCTTACAGCATCTTAATCTAAATAAAGTATCCCAGAACTCTGGTTGAGCCTAAGATGAGAAGGTAATGTGTATAAGGCGTATTTTAGAGAGTCAGGCTCAGCTGTTAACAGCTAAGATAATTGCATACCAAGGAGAAAGATGATGAAGATAAAATATGTAGCAGTAGTGCAGAGTCAAGATGATAAGATGATTTGTTGCAATTTTGAAACTGGTTTTTAATGCATGCTGGATTTTTTATAGATCTTTGGATGGACTTGAATGTTTGTTATTTTTTTGCACTCACTAGAATTACAGAGATCCTTGTTTGCAAGAGGTTGGGCTGGTTTCATTCTTTTCAAAGGCTGGGGACAAAGCCCTCTTTCAGTGGGGGAAATAAAAGTATTAATTGCAAGTAAAAACTTCTCAAATATTGTTGTTAATACAATTGCATGAGGTTGCACAGTCCCATCTAGTGGTCAAAAATTACTGCATAGAAAAAACAACTACAGCACCTAAACCACAGTCCCAAAGATCTGCAAATGTTATTATCTGTTGTTTAAGCATTGTACCAATATTCTCATGCATTCCAGTCCAACTAGATTTTATTGTACAATATCTAAGGCAGAGCCATATACAGTGAATGCTCCCTGTCCACAACTAATTCCAGTGAAAACAGATACAATTGCATCTCAAAACTGGACTTATCCAAAGAAATTGAGCTATCATTGATTTTATTTTGCAGCTTACTCTGCTTCCTGAGAATATTTTCTTATAGTAAATATCACTCTCTAATGGTATTCTGCAAAGTGGCAGCTGATGGTAGCATAATAAGCAGCACTTTACAGACATTGTGGATTATATTACTATTGACACAGTCTTAAACCCAAGCAGAATTCCATTTTTACTGCAATCACATCATCTCTCTCACTGTCTCCAAATCAGTATTTCAAGGAAGGGTGAGTCCTGCCGCTAGAGATGTGCACATTTTTATAGTGACCATGTGCCATATTTATGACTAAAAATCTCTGATATTTGCTGAAAATTGAGTGAAATTTTTTTAATGAAGTTCAAAAACACCCTTCTTACTAAGCTGATAAACAAAATAGTCCCTAAGAGCATTCATGTTTACAATGTTAACAGGCTGCTGGTTTGGAGACAAAATCCCTGATTATCGTGATACAGCTGGATTTCAATCGAGGGTTAATGTGCAAGTTCTCCAACTTCAATTGAGAATGTGAGCAGCCAAAAAATTATGATGCACTGTTATTTCTCACTTTAGGAAAAGTAGAGGAAAAAGCTTGGTAATTGTCTAAGTGGTGAAACCTATATGATGGGTGGGATGAGAGTAATGTGATTTTCTGAGAGAGCTGATACAAGCACTGCAATTATGTCATCTCTTCTGTTAAGAAGGGCCACACGTCCACCACAGAGGCAGCAATGCCCAAGGAGACTAGAAGGGCAAAATACTAGAAGGTGCTCTTATGTGTGAGTGTGGACTACATATCAAAGCACCCTGCTACAATTTTGCCAAAGAGAGGTTAAATTGAGTTACCAGTTGAGTGACACTGCCCACTGCACACACAGCAGCAGGCCCTGCACATTTTCTCAGTCTAATCCCATTCCTCTACTCTGGAAAATGAGATCACATTTACCTTTATAGTTCTGTAAATCCATGTATTACCTAAAAAACATTCTTGTCCTTCTGTCTTGTGTGCACTCATTGTACAAGGAAAAAATTCTGCATTCTTTTTAAAAGCTTATAAGAAATTTCATTGCAAGTACACCTGGTTGCTTTACAATATTCCACACCTCTAAAACCCTAAACGACAGCATTATTACTTTGGCCAGATGAGTTACAGCCAGTCAGCAAGAGGTCAGTTCCCATACCCGAGCTGGAAGGCTGCAATATGCGGGAAGCAAAAATGCGTTTCAAAACTCCCCAATTTATCTAACTTTCTCTGACATTTCAGGGCAAGCTTGACTGAAATTTTACTCAGTTTTATTAAAAATAAAAATGTAGGAACCTACCTGGGGAAAAATATTTATTCTGGTGCATCAAGAAATCCAGATAGGTGTGAAAAAATACATATGTCAGTTGCAGACAAACAATAAGAGAAATGCATATTGCAGGATGGTAAAGGCTGACACATGGTAAGAAAGAGTCCTGACCTCCTCCTGTATAGTTCTGCATTGCACTAAGGTATTCACCCTATGTTTATGAGAACAGAGATGACTGCAAGAGGCTCTTGAAGGTATAATCAGATGCAGGTGCCAAAGAGGTCTCAAGATTAGAAATGAACTTGCTTCATGCAAGTTGAAGTCAGAAGGCAGCAGCTCATGATTGGACATCTATCAGACTTGGAGAATAGTCTGTCTTGCTCGCTTTCACTGCTTGCATATTTAAACCTTTTCTGGAAAATCTGCCTCTGAGTGAAACCCAATGCTGTATAAAATGTGAGGTAAAACAAAAAAAGTCTACCCATTACAAGGCTTAGATCATATTTACATCTATTATAATTGAAACTGTTAATATAACTAGAGTTAAACAAGTGCTAAAATTAAAGGAATAAAACATTACCTGCTTGCTGAAGTTCTTTGTAATTTTATACAAAGAAAATGGCAAATTCTCCCAGCTATCATGTAATCAGCAGAAAATGTCTGCTGAAGTCCTTAGAGTGAAAAATAGAAAATTAAAAAATAGGCACAAAAGAACCCATTTTACACACATTTCAGTGCTATTTGTTACCAGGGTAAGTAAAAATGGAATAAGGATCAGTTTACAAGTAAGTCCTTTACCTATCACAACAGCCTAAATTACAAGATCTTACCAGCCAGCCTGCAGTCCTGATTTTGGCATAGGAAAAAAAAAAAGAATGGCAAAGAGAATTGGCAGTATCTCTGATTCTGAAACACTGGATAAGGTGGGAGCTCAGAAGGAAGGATGCAAAGTGACTTAAAATATTAACTTTATCTTAGCCCTTCTTCCTCTGAGTGTCTCCTGTTACCTCTGAGTGTCTCCTGTTATAGCTATTTATATCTTGAATGGGGTTTTGAGAATAAAGGAAGGACTTCTTCTTTGAGGAGCCAGGGGATGGGCAGTGTTGCAGAAAATGGACAGAAGGAAAAAAGGTTTTTCTTCTTAGGTCACTAGCTCAGAGGCCACACAGGCTATTTAAAAGGCTGACATCAGCAGCAGAGCTCTTTGGCATCAGGAACTCAAGAAGGTTATCTTTATCTAATTGCTCCCTAAGCATCACCAGAAGCAAGATAGCTTTTCATTACATCCACTGTAGTTCTGTGGTTAAATGCCACAGCTAAGACCTTTATTTGTCATTGTAGTATTGTTTCCTCCAATCTGTCTTTAACATCCATCCTCTTCTGACCTGTTCTTTCTCTCACTTTTCTTTCTATAGAGGCAGAAGATTTGGGCTAGGAGGGATTTCTGCAACCAATATGTAGTTCAAAATATATTAGATTGGTGTGAGTCACCATAGAATTACTTGGTCTTATATTGTTTTGGTTTTTTTCTCCAGAACTCCTGTGGGACTTGACTCTTACCTGAAGGTTTCTGTCTTTTACACACATATTTTATGTTATCTATTAATTATATTGTTCATTTTACAAATAGAAAATATAAGCATTTCCTGCCTACTACAAAAAACTCAAGTACCTCCAAAGAGTTCAGATATTGAAAGGGAAACACAAATACTTGCATATTGTATTTTTTTTAAATAAATGAAAATTTGTGAGGCTTTATTTAACATTTAGTGCCCATTTTGAATTGTCTTGCATATAGCTTCCCAAAGTAATAAAAAACCCAAACTTCATGAATGTCTGTTTATTATTTTCATTGTAGATTCTACCACAGTTTACAAAGACTTGGATGTATTAATGAACTTAGGTGACTAGGTAGTCTTGCTGACCCTTAGAAAGTTTGGGTAAATGCAATTTAAACAATTTTAAGCAACAACTGGTTATAGTTAATTTCTATCACATTTACTTTTGGCAGTCCCAAGGTCTATATGAATGGTAGCTGTCTGTTGAAGCTGCTGTTGTCTTATCTATTTTCACTCCATCTCATTTCTTCCCTAAATACCATTTGCCTTTTCTGATTCTTCTCACCTTTCTGTTTTGTCAGTGATGACCTCAGTAAGTCTTTGGAAGTGCAAACTTATTCCAACTGCCCTTTAAAGTCATAAAGTAGATTTCTGTCACATAAATAAACAACTATATGGTGGAATTTATCATTGCAGACATCCTTGGCTTCCTGAGGGTCAGTAGCAATAATAATAGCAATAATAATAATGAACATTTTATGAAAAAATGATAAATCTTATGAAACAAAAGCACTTGGAAGGAATATTAAAACTCATGCCTAAAGGCATAAACAAACCTCTAACTGATGGGTTGAAGAAAGAAACTTTTTCCTCAGGGCAGATTTTATAATTGCTTAGCACATGTCTTCTTCCAGCTTTCTTTAAAACACATTATGGCACTGAGAGTCACTGCTAAAAACAGAATAGCAGAGTAGATGGAGAGCTGGATTGTTTTCAAAATGACATTTTTTTGTAGCCCACATCACTTTAATGCTGTTTTCATTTAGCTACTCAGTCCCAGAGTTTGCTAAACAGATTCTAAGATGACCCTTTTCTCAGCTATATTTTTTTCCATTTTATATTTGCTGCATAGTTTATGCAAAGTTAACTTCAGCAGACTCTCTGCAGTACTTACAGCCTCAGCTATGTCTTTCACCTCACAGCCTCATTCACACATTCTGTTCTCAGGCTACTAGAGTTCTGTTTTGTTTTTTCTGTCAGTCTTCTGTCCTTTCTGGCTTGGTTTCTATCTTTCTTGTGGCTTTTCAAGTCTTACTGAAAGCTTTTTTTTCTTTCTGAACAAGAATAGTTGGCACACAATTCTGCTTTGCTAAGGAAAGGAAAAAAAAACAAAGAGAATATAAATTACTAAAATTGGTAGAGGATCCTAGTTTTCCTTCTAGGATTTTATTTTCTTCATACCACTTTTTTTACAGCAATGGGCTGTTTTAATCCATACCAAATTGGTAAAAATATTATTTTTAGCTGATACAGATTAAGTCTATTAACACTGTAGGAAGCTATAAGGAAACAGCTTCTTAAGAGATCTGTCCTAACATCTGTAGGGTAAAAACACAGGTCAGTGTCGCTGAAATAAATTAAATATTCTTACAGGATGAACTGGGTGGTCTGGTTCTGGTAAAAGAAAAGTCTTTTATTCTTATGAATTTATGTTGTAATATATTAAATTGATTTTGTGTCTAGAAAATAGACCAATGTAAATTTACCCACTTAAGTAAATAATTTTTTTCTTTATGGATATCAATTTTACATGCATTTTTTCATCCAGGTGTGAATCAACTATTTACTTTTTTTGTATCATAAATTATGCAGTTTAAATAAGTATTATTTATATAATACTGATGCAAATAAACTGACAGACTCTAAATCTTGTATGAATTCTACAAGTATAATTTACTGTACTTCATAATCAGTTACAGCTTTTGGCTTTCATAAGTAAAAATTTGTTCCAGCATTTTCTTTAAGTTACTATTTCAAGCAAGACTTTCAATTCTCTTGTGATGATCCAGTAAGTAGGTGCCAAAAGAAAATCTGTTGTGATAAACTCTTTTTGTTTCCAGTTCTGGTCAATCTGCCAGTGATTGTGCATATCAGCCAGATCCTCACAGGCTTCTTAGTGTTTTATATGATGTTCTAAACTGGACATTGCTGTGCAGTTAATCTTGCTTGAAGGGTTTCTTTAAACATTACACACATGGAGTTTAGTACTGATGTGTCTCCCCATATTTTATTCTGTCTATGATTTGGTGCAGCTAAATGTGCACAGAACTGAACAGCGGTGGTAGTGTTGGCAGTCTTTCTGTGATTATATTTAGTTGAATGGGTGCTGTGAATATTAAACTCCCCCATACATACAAAAACAAGATGCACGAAGGAGCCAGCCCGAGGATACCAGTAATAAAGTAGTTTAAAGATAAATTGAGTGGGACTTGCATTTTGAAAATGAATTCTCTATTCATGTCTAGCATTCATGGGTGTATCCCTTTTATTCAAAGTAACAGGAAATTATGATTAAATCTTAAAACACTCCGATCAGAGACTCAGGGAGAATAAGTATTCCTCTAGTTCAGAAACTTAGCCAGACATTCTTTGTATTAAACTAAAATATGGTTGTATGAAAAATTGCTTCTTTTTTTGCAGTAGTTTAAAAAAATCATCTATGATCATATCAGGATAAATATTTTCTGAATCTTTCCCTGATTTTTTAGTTTCTAACTCACTTGCAGGCAAAACAAAGGAATAGAGGGCTGAGATTCACATTACTGAAAGGAGAAAGGGAGTAGCTGCCCCAGGACCTCAAGAGCTAGTCTGTGCAGAGGGGAAGTATCTGAGTTCAGGCTTTCACAAATGCAGGGTACTCAGAGGAAGATGATGTTCTCAGTCTTTTTTATGACATTGTATCAATAATTAAAATGACCCTAGAATCCTCATTTCTTAATCAATGTCTTAATCATGAAATCAGACACGAGCCTCTTTCACGTTTCTGTATTGTGCATTCTTTCACCTTTATCAAGCTCACTCAGTCCCAGACAGAAACTCCACTCAATATTGTCAGTGTGGAGCTGGGACCCACCTACCCAGCAGTGCTGAGCCCCTGTCCCTGGGAAGCAGCTACAGGGCAAGCTCAGCTCTGCACTGGGCTTATTCATGGGTCCTCTTCCCGGCTCAGAGCAAAAGTAGAACAGCAAACTGTAGATATAACTTGTCTCATTCCTGTTCTAGATGCAAATCTCTATTGAAATTGGAACGGGATTGTGCTCAAAATCTGTTCCAAATATTTTTATTTGTTCTTCTCCATTCACAAACTCTTTCTGAGTCAAGACCCTTGAACATTCTTATGACAACTATTCAAAACCTTTCTCATGTGTAGGCAATGGTGCTTGTACCCATCCTCTCAGACACCTTCCATTTAAATGTTCCCGCTCCTACAGTGGCAAAAAGGGATGTGTTTGTTCTGCCAAACTCTGATTCATCTTAGTCTCACCCTGTTAATATGGAATTTGAGGAGAAAATTCAAGTTTTTGTAATGAAACCCCAAGAGTCAGAAGGAAATAAAAATTCTTTTACTGTTCTACTTTGTTATACATAACCAAAAATTAATTGTTCCTCAAATTAAATGTAATTCTTCTAATGACTCCTTTTACTGAATATATCACCATTTCTGCTGTAACTCTGCCTTTTAAGTCAATAATCTCAATGCTTAAGCAATTGACTATATGTTGTTTTCCTATAGTTCACAGCTAGGGAAATTAATTCTGTTAAGACTCAAAGCAAATGTTTGATTAAATGGAATTAGTTTACTGCTACATGAACAAATCTAGGACAGGATTTAATTACATTTACAGAAATTTAATCTAATGAATCAGGTTGATTTTTTCCTAGTATTTAATGGACCTTACCAGGATCAGTAAAACTAAGTCACCTAAAATACTAAAGCAATTTCTTCTACACTTCTCTTTGAAGGAGCAACCTATAAAACTAATTAATAGCTATACACAGTGTCTACAATCATATGAAGGAATTTTTGTTTCTTTTCCCCTTCTTCTGTGTTCTAGGTTACCATCAAGATTGGCTCTGTGTAAACACATTAATGTGTTTGCAGAAAATAGCTGCGTAATGGGCACATTAAGAACAGATTAGCAACATTGACTTTCTAATTTGGTGTTCTGTCTTCAACAGTGGTCAGTGTACTGAGTGTAGCAAAAGAAGCACAATATTTAGTAATACTGGATAAGTACATGATAACTTCTTAAAAGAATATGTCTTTAAAAATATTTGCCTGTCTTGAACCACAAGGAATTATTTCCAGTCTATCCATAAGGTATAATTGTGCTTAACGACACAAACACCTTTGCCTCTTCTCTCTCAATAAAATTTCAGTTTTACTAATATCTCATGGCAATGAATGCATTATTCTAATATTCTAGCAAGAAATCAGATTCTTTCTGGAGCTACAAAAATATGGAAGGGATCTTTTTTCATGTGCAACTGCCTAAATATGTTGCAAAATTTGTATTGCCTGCAGCATTCATAAATAATAAACCATGGCTATCCTATGCTCTTTCACTGGTCCCATGTTAACATCTCTTTTTTTGAGCCCTTTTGGTGTTAATAGTTATTTTCCTTCTGCTTTAGATGTATGACTCTTTGTATTAATTTCTCAGACTATAGTCTTTCAACTAGAATGTTTTAACTCAAGCAACTTTATGAACTCCAATATTAAGTTTATAATATTAAAAATTATTTACCTCTGCTCTCATTTTGTAACCTCATTTAAATAGGAAAAAAGCCTCAGTCCTGTACAAGTCCTCTTCATACTTTTCCAGGTTTACATATAACATTTTTATAATAAACTTTTATTATCATAAGTGAAAACTCAGGATTCACTTTTTGTTTCTATAAGAAATTGCTATAACAATTAGAAGTAGAAATGTAATATTTTGAGGATTTAGAAAACTATTTTGGTTTTTAATTTTTTTAAAGTGCAAATGTATTATAAAAATATTTCTAACAAACAGGTTTTGAATATTTTTTTAAATCAGGTTTTAAATTATAGCCTAAGAGGAAATGATGTCTAGAAGGTCATATGCTTCAATTAGGATATGTTAAAAGTCTTTCATTTTTTATAATATTAATTGCAAAATCATACATTGCTAAAGCCAACAAGCATTTCTAGACTTGAATCTTATTTACACAGCATTAATGGAAAAATTACCAAGGCCATATAAAACTTCTACTCAATTCTTCACTTTGAGGAGACAGGTGAATGTATATTTCCAGTACCCAGCAATTTGGCTTTTACTCAAATGCACATTGCCTGTTGTCACAAGAATAACAATCTGTTTACCAAACTTGATCTTGTCAGTAATCTATTATATTTTAGATGTAAAATAAATTCTAATGCCATTTCTGTTTCCTAGATTATTTCATCTAGCAAAAAAAGATTGATTGTAAGAAGAAATTATTCCCAATGTAATGAGCTAGTGCAAACAATTTATGACCTACTAATTGCTCGGACATTTTTACATTTTGTAGCTCTTTTTCTCCTGGATTGTCATCTGGATTAGGTGGCATTTGTTCTCTCTAAGGCAACTTAAACCCAGAGTTCTGATTAAAGTGAACAGTATGTGCATGTGGGTTTAGTTGATGTAGCTCAAATTTATGCACAGAGACTACCTGGAATCAATAACAGCAAAAGAATTGTTACTTACCTGAGAAATATTTTTGCAACCACTTCTACACATACGTAGAGCTATTCAAAAGCTATTCTGATTTCTTCTTTCTTTTGGATTATTTGAAGGTACTTATACGTTCTCATTGAAGCGTGCTGTTCTGAAAGAAGTTATTAAAGAGCAAGAAATAGATAGTTGGAAGATGTGTGGCATAATAAAACAGGAAACTGAGGAGAGAAAATAGATAAAATAATCTGAAAGTGTCCTGGGTAAGTAAAGGGGGAAAAAAAGAAAAAAAAATTGCAAGATATTTAGTACTCCTGCACACATACAAATATCCATACAATTATTTATGTATGTACACAGTCACACATAAAGAAATATAGTCACACAAGCAGAAATATATACAGATGTTTCCAGGGAATGACAGAAAAATTATGCAGCTTGATAGGCTTTTCATCTTTGTCACTTTCAGATTCTTTATCCCAACCTCAGTTGCAATAATGTTACTATATTTTGGCTTCTATCACATAGGCATAACAGGATTCTCAGTGCTTTAAAAAAAGAGTTCATCCAGAATTATATCTTATTTATATGGGCAAAAATGATGGAGATGAGGTTTTATAGACCTTTACCTTCAGTGCTGTTTCCTGAGGAGAAAGCTTCTTGGTTCAAAACTATGATTCATTTTACTTAGAAGTAAGATCACAAAGATGATCACATTCTTTACTGCTTGATTTAGAGTACACAAATCTAAGGAATATTAGCACTAGAGCTGCTAAGTCCCTGAAGATCTGAGTATCTGCAAAAGACCACAAGAAAAGAAAAAAAAGGTATATTTTAGAAACACCCTATTATGAGTTATGTAAATTCCGATAGCTGCCTGGCTAATAATTATCATGCAGCACCAAACCCAAAGCAGCTGTGTAGAATACATTAAAAGCATATGTCAACTGATAAAAACAATCTTAATCAGAAATATTCATCAATTATGGCTGTGTACTCCTACACTGCTAACCCCACTACATGTGGATTAACACCAATTCCAAAACTGTGTGATATGTTTATCCATGAAGCAAAACTAAACAAGAAAAACTGTGCTGATTTAATGGTGGGAGACACACGGGTTTGCAGAGAAGAGACAGGACTTGCCAAGGAGTCCACACTGGCCTTGGTAAGAAGCACAGAGGAAAGGGCAGCTGGAGCTGCTCTCTGCTAAGCCAGCATGATCCATCCTACCACCGAGCACTCATGGACGAGGGGGAACACTCACCAAGTGAAAAGGCTGCAGAAAAACATCTCACACGTGGGCACAGAGAGTGGCAAGTGGGCAAACACACTCTTCTCTTTAGGAAACAGAGAGAAGTCATTTTTAGTCTTCACAGGAAGATCAATTAGAAACTCTTACAATTAGCTTCAGCCTAAACACTGCATAGATAGAAATTCTTCAAGACAAATTAATTCACAAAAATTAAAATAATGACCAGGATCTCTGCCCTTTTACCTGCTAAGTACAGGGACTCATCCTGAATTATTTTACATCAAAGTGTTCAAGAAACTGTATGAAAGAACAATTAACTTAAATGAAAATACTGTTCATTAACCCCTTTTGACATTAGAAAATAAAGCACTTTAGAGAACTGATACTGAAATTAAAGTTAATTAAAACTAGAAGACATACCTCCTTGAAAAAAATTGTATCTCTTAGGTCACCAGACACCTCTTATTCTAGTTGTTAGATTCTTCTTTAGCTCGCTTTTTCTCTGCAGAAAAATGAAAAGCAGTAAATATAAAATGAGGAGTTGCTAAACATTTTCTTTATATGACCATAGCAACCTTCCATGATAACAGCACATTTCCCTGGAAAATAGAATTAAAGTGATTCATGCTACTGATTATAAATAGCAGTCATTCAATTAAATAGTCTTGTTCAAGTCAATGACATTACTTTTGTAATTCTGGTAAATATAAACTATAAAATTGTATTTTTTATTATAATTCTGGTAAATATAAACTATAAAATTGTAATTCTGGTAAATATATACTTTTACGTTTTATATGCTTTATAGCAGAAATACAATATTAAATTCAGACCTTCTTAAAATGAAACATAATTTTGGGGTCACGAAATGAAAAAAAAAAAAAAGCAGGACAAAAGGTAATAACAATTGCAAAGAGCTAATGCATTGAATCTTGACCCTTTCATTCCAATTAGCTGGAACAACTTCAGGGGAACACTTGGTTCCCTCTTACCAAAATGTGACAAATTCATGAAAGAACTCCACAGTTTACAGGAAAAGCAGTAAGATCAGTGTGGTCATACATCATTCATTTATGGTAATTAACAGCAATTCTAATTTTACATAGAAATGCAACTGAAATACAGAATTAAGATTGGACAGCCATTTTTCAAAATCCCTGCACTGTTAAGTCACAAATCTATTCACAGCTAAGGAGTGCAGACTTCAAACCAATATATCTAGATTCTGATGATTATTTATGTCTGACATCAGTGTGATTTAGACACCCAAATCCTACAACCATTCTGAACATACCAGCCTGAATTACAAGCTTCTGGATCAAGATAAGCCCCGAAGCAACATAGTGAAACCACATTGACAACATCTAGAATTTTTGTGTATATAAGATAGGCTATACATTTGAGCTGAAAGAGAATCAGAGCAGACACCTATAAATAATATCCAGGCATGTTACAAGGTGCTTAAGATAGAATTTTTCAAATAAAACAATAAAAACTACTTTTATTGTCATCATGTCTAACTCCTTGTTCTCTGAGGCCATGTGTATCATACAGCCCAATCCCTTTCAGAAGTGCTCTCTTATAAAACTGGTTAGAGGACCTAGCCAAAACAGACTTAAAAGAAAACCACAAGAAGAATTAGATTCTAAAATAGGCTACCAGAACCCTATTCTTCTAATGTTTGCTGTATTTGCTTCCATTGTCCTTGGTCTTTGATTTGTGTGCCTTTGCTCTTTGGCTGGGATGATTTCTCTGCAGCATTTGACCAGCACTGTTCTTCTTTTGATAAATTTCTAGCAAGCAATTACATGATCTATGAGCTAGATGGAAAAAGACAGAATTTTTCAGCAGTCTGGTAAAATGAACTCCCTACTTTTCTGATTACTCCAGCAGCTGCTGTCTAGACTTCATCTAGATGACTGGAATTGAACAAAGAATTCAGGTCAAGGGTATAACAGTGACTTTTTCCGTATTTCAGTACTTGAGTGGAGCACTTTCTACTTCCACAAATTCTTGAAATTTATAGGACTAAAAAAGGCAAAGCTAATTGCAGCAGCAGCATTTGTGATGGAAACATGGTCACAAAGCAGAAAATAATTTAGATACAAGATTGGTAGTACACCTTTGTCAAGACAACTTTAATTTTTATTGGAGTCTCACAGATGGAAGGACAGTAACTCACACATCACTGTACTACAACCAGTGGCCTGGGAGCCTGCCCCAAAGAGTTCCCAGTTTCCCACCACCTTGTCTGTCGAGTTCTGCTGCTCGTGTAAATGTTCAGTGTAATTGCCACAGACTTGCTTTGATGCCTCAAGTTTTCACTAAAACAAAAAAACCAACAAGCTTTGAATCTCAACAGTCCAAAAGGCTGATATTCCAAACTGGATCAAAGTTCAGAATATTTTTATGTTCAGACACTGCAGCACTTGTATGATGTCCAAAACAATGCATTCAATCTCTGTCCCATACTCAGACAAAACACCAGAATCTTTGCACACAATAGAGCCACAGACCTTAAACCACCTGGCTGATCAAAGTAAATTACCATACTGTCTAACATTATAAATTAGAGTTAGGAAATAATTGTGCCATAATTTTTGCCAAAGTTCATGGCTCATGGGAACAGATGGAGTCTTACTATTTTTGCAGTAGAGTAGACTCCTGATGCCATGGAAAAAGAAAAAATACTGAGATATAATTTTTTTTTTTCCTGTATTTACTGCATCCTTCATGACTGCATTAATTAGCCCTCAATACTGAATTGGACAATTTTCTGTCTATACAGTTAATCAAATCAAGATTGATTCCTTGGAGCTGATCATCCCAGGTAGTTAAAAGTGACTTTATGCAACTGAAGGTCCCAAATAGCTAAGAAGAATAATTTTCGTCCCCACTTAGTTGTGATACATCAAAATTATGAGAATAACTGATGTGTAATTGAAGGACTTTCTGTCAAACAACTTGAAAAAAAATAAAAGAAAGAAGAAACTGAAATAAGCTATCAGTTCCTCTTCACATCTCCAGAATGTAAAACACAATAAACCAATTGCTGCCTGATTCAGTTTTAGCCTATTAGTTATTTTACTTATTATATTTTCTCTTTGAAAATTAAATTGTTTTTTTCTTGGAGGCCTTTTAACATAACGTGAAGGATTATTTTTACTATTCTCACCTTGAACAGATGATCTTTCCTTTAGCTGTATTCTCAAGTCATCATTCACATGCCCCCCTGTAAAACTCAAACACACTGTCCCAGAATGGAAATTGATTTCTCAGCACCATACAAAGCCCACCTAAGTACAGTAGGCATGAAATGTTTCAATCTCAGGCTTGCCTCCAATAAACCAATGAAAAGAGAAAGAATCGTTCTTCCTTTGTGGGATACTTTCATGTATTAAAGACAGTAGTAATTAAAAAATATATAATCCCAAAATTTGGAATTCTGTCCCATTCAGAACTCTAACTTAAAACAAAATAGGCATCTTTAATACTGTTGATAATGTTGAGTAAAATCAGAAAATTTTGGTGCATAAATTATTTTAAAATGCTTTCTTTTTTTCACTATTGGAATATCTATTACCACTATTTTTTTATATTATCTTTCTTTCCTAATATAAGAGTTTTAGCACATTGAGATATCTGAAAACAAAAGAAACTTTTGTTTCTGAAAAAACCTTCTTACTCAAAACATTCTTACTGTTATATTTAATCTGCTGGAAGAGCAAATAAAAATGCTCCTAAGAAAAAAGGGGAAGCATCATTGAGGAAGTTACCACACAAGCACTCTTTAAAGCTAAGTAACAATAATATTTTTTATCCATTTTGTGAGCTTATATCAGAAAAAATATCTATTATAAATTGTAATATGCTGAGAAGAAATGCCAATACAAAATGCAATTTTAATGGCAATGATCATCAGATGAAGATACAGAAATAACACCAAATGCACAGCATAATTACTGGAGGCATTGAAAACAGCTTTAAAACAGCAATCAATAAGAGATATTGCTGACCCTGCAGAGTGTATAACATTCAATAAATACCCAGGCCAACCTACTAGCATTTTATTAAAATGAGTCAATAACAACACTGTATTGTCTATTAGATTGATCACATCTGATATGACCACCAACATGACTGCTCCCAAAGTTACAAAAAAATTCCTAAGATAACTAGTGGAACAATTTCATCCGCCTGTAGTGGTTGTAAATTAGCATAGAAATTGTGCCAGTGTAATTAGACTGCTTAAGGTCTTTAAAAAAATAATAGTATTATCAGTATACTCTCTCATGTTGCCACAGTAAAACCAATGTAAAAGCAGTTTGCTGTTAATCACTTCTGTAAACATATAAGGAAGGAATACACACACACACACACACACACACACAGAAGATGCAGGGGGGTTATATCTTCAATCACAGCAGATTTAAGCTACTAGAATCAGTCAGCTTATAAACTACTTTTAGATCCCCTTTTTTTTTCTTTTCTTCATTGAATACTTTCTTTCCAGAACATTAATTGAAACAAAATCTCACAGGGAAAGAAAAAAATATTAAAAAAAAAAAAAAAAAAGAAAAAACCAGACCAAAACACTGTTACACAAACCAGCACACAAATGTGAGAGAGAGAATTCTTCAAGTCAAAAGGAATATATATCCAGGCACATGTGTGGTTAAATAAGAATGTCTGAAACATGGCAAGCAATATTTATGCTGTTATTTGCAGGATTCCATATTCTAGCTTTATGAGAACACATTCAGACAGGTTTACATAATGTACCTGACTTCAGATGAAAATTTTGCAGTATTTCTTACAGCAGCAAGGAAACGTGCTAATGAAAAGGAATAAGTTGTTTATAGGCTGCAGAAACATTTTGACTGAAATGTATAGATTATTAATAATTGTAATAATAATAATGAATAATAATAACAATAACACAAATTGATCAGCTGTTTTCAATGTAGTCAAAGTGAGATTTTTTTCTGTTTTACTGCTGTGCTTAAGATCAACTTTGACCTTTTTTGCTTTATGTTGCTACTTTTCAGTAATCCATAATTCTGAGAGCCTTCCTTACAAAGACAATAAGGACGTAGCTTAACCATCACTCAATTAATTGCTGATCTTTCTATAGAGTTGATTTAATTTAATGTACAATCATTCATATGATAACTTAAGTAAAATGCTAACATTTGCAAATCTCTGAGAAGAAACAGATCCATTCTTTTATTGCTGTAAATATTCACTACAACAACATAAACCTCAATGTAGCTAGGACTTCAGAAAAGGTTTGCAGAAGAATAGCTAACTGCATTTTCATTTTCATTATCACAACTTGGATTTAAAGAGCAACAAATACACTAGAGACTGCTCTGTAACAGAACTGATAAAGCCCAAAATCTTTTGGTAAAACAGGGTCTATTTTCTTGAGTTACAAACACATTTATGTTCTTTCAACCTAATAATATTTTTTGATTGTACTTGCAGCACCTGCCTCATTATATATTATTCCTTGAATCCGTTACAGACAATACACACAGAAAGCCAGACTACATGAACAAAAATGCTCTTAAAAACACCAGTAATACTAATCAGTGTTCCCTTTATTCTTTACAGATTGCCACTCAAATATAGCTTTTAAACTGTCACTATTTCCTTCATCATTCTTTTACAATCCATATTATATTTCCAGTCTATTGGTAAATCGGCATCACTCTTAGCAATTTTTTTCTCTGCCTTTTTGTGCTATGTCATGAAAAATTCTTAAAATATATGCTTCTGTAATTACATTGTTAAATAAGACTAGGAGAGCCTCTTCTTTAGTTGTTTAGTTTAGTTGTTCTTTGATTAGTTTGGTTTGGGGCTTTTGCTTGATGTGGAGATACTGAAATAACTTCCTAAAACCTGGGTGAGTTGTGAGTAGATTTTTACTTGGAGTTAACAGCATTACTCACAGAGTCAGGTAACTTTTTAAATTATATTGAATTTTCGTCTACTGTATAGCTGTGTCATCCTTGTGTGGAAGTGTCATCCTTCTACCATAAATTTAAGAATTCTACATGGCAATTTCATTGACTTCAGTAAGCAATTATTGTCCACACAATCAACATGGATGCTTTTCTATTCAATAGATTTTTTAATTATACAGTTGGGCTGAGATCCATGAATTGTTGACATTGTTCACAGCTTCCTTAGGGTCTGGCTCACTGAAGAAACATAAAGCAGATAACAACAATCTAGATTACTTACTATCATCACGTTAGATAAAGCTTTCAGAAATTTCTCTTTGTGGTGAATACAATGCTCAAATTATGCCAGAAAGCCTTTTATACTTTGAGTCCTATTTTATTGGCCTATTTTATTGGCCTTTTCTTTATGAGTTAAGCAAAACATTAATAATGATTTCTCAGAACAAGATTTCCATTAGTGGCATAAAGATTTACACCTCAAGGGCTTAGGTATAATTGTTCATGATTGCACAAGTTAACTGAATATACTGTGTTTGACAGCAATATGCTTTAAAAAGTAGTTTATTTAGTAATAAAAATGTGATAGAGTGGTTGAAGTGGCTCAGAAGTCTGAAATTAATCAACCACCTTTTCAGAGTTGTACTTCCTCTTCTAGAGCTATAGCTCTGCTATTTGTCTCCAAATGGTAAATTGCACTGTCTCCAGAAAGGCAATATTTTAATAAAAATTTTTAACAATAAAATAATTCCTTTCTGAAGTCCCAAAATGTAAGTTAATCTCCTTACCTTCCACCTTCATAATATTTCTCCACTCAAAATTTCAGACTTCTCATTCAATTAGGGGGAAAAAAAGCAAAATGTCAAACCTTCTTGGGAGGAGAGCATTTTACAGGTAGCTGAATAAACTTTTTATTCTCTCTCCCCTTCAGAAAAATCAATCTACATATGCATTTATTTGTCTGTTGCTCTGACCTATCATTTTGGTTGCAAAAATACCTAACTGGAAAATAAGATTTCTTTGCTCTAAAAATCTGCAAAGGAATGAGAGCCAGACCTTCAGCTAAACATTCAGACCTGGATGTCAGCTGAAAACATTGGAAAAGAAGATCAAGACCTACGAAGCTATCAAGATTGATAGTTAAGTGTGGGAAATTGCCCTCATCAAACACCGTACTCAAAATTGCTGCTCACATACTCTGAGTAAAATACTGGACTGTATGGAGGTGATAAACTTGGATGACACTAGTTCTCCTTTGTTTAAGCAGAAGAACTTCAGTATAAACAATTTTTGTTTAGTCAGCTTTAGTTGGCATGCAAGGCTGACACCACTCAGCAACAATCTCAGCAGCCGAGACTGGTAAAGTTGCCATTTCCCAAGAAGCTGGGATGGCAATGCACAATGAGGAAACACAGCCTTTTGGCATCCCAGATCCTGACTAAGAGGCAACAAGGCCACCTTTTTCTGCTGCCAGCTCACCACTTTTACAGGACACAATATCTACCTCTCCTGCAGGGAAATTAAAGTTCAAGTGGAACCCCAATTTGGTAACAGACAGAGGCCCAAGAAGCCAGTTGTAGATTCAATATCTATGGCATTTGTGCAACATATAGAAATAAAGCAGCTGCTGCTATAACTACCAAAACCAACCAGGTCCAGGTTATATTCACAACGAAAAGGTTTTTCTTTTTCCTCATAAAAATACTGGAATGTGCAACAAGGAAAAAAATAAAGGAAAGTTCCATCAATCCTCACATCAATCTTAATTTAAAGTCATATCCAATGTGTGATATTGGCAGGACAGCTGCACTGGGCCTACTCATTTGCCAGACCAGGAAAAAAGGCGAAACCAACTCATCAGCTGAGCTTAGGCTGCTACTGAACCCTCTGGGGCAGGGCCATGGTGCACCACACTGCACAGCAGCTGCCCAGCCAGAGGACAAGTGGGTAAAAAAGAGGCTGCCACAGATACAAGAGGCTGCAAACAGATCCCTTGTCCCAGCAGGCAGGGTCACCTGCACATGTCCCTTTTTCCTACAAAAGTGGGATCTCTTAGAGAAAAGTGAGCATAAAAAGTCTGCTTGTTGCTGATTGGACATTGAAATTCAGTCTATTTTTTTGACGGAGCATTTTTTTTAAACCTCTTTAGTGACTGAGTTGCTGTTGTTGCTCGTAGAATAATATACTGACGTATGTTGAGAGCTGAACAGTCATTCACAATATATTTATGGATGCAATTCATTTTAACCATGATATCCTGTGGAAGAAAGGCTTGTGCAACCCACAGACTTCACAGGCGCATCTTTCTCTTACCTCTGCATCAATGTCTGTCACACAGCTCACCTCAGAATACTGATTTAATCTACTGACTAATTTCAAAAGAATTTGAAAAAGGGGTGTGTTCCCAGATTCAGCATCAAAAGATATTCTTCATCAGTTTCAGTTGCACTGAAAGGATGCTGTGATCCATCACAGATAATTAGAAATAGCAGCAGATGACTACGTACTCACATTAATGAGGTGCAAAGCACACCTGCTAAGGAAACAATGGGAATGTACAGCATGACCTACTTTCTTCCTCACTGTTATTCAGGTTACAGATTTGGGGCTAAATAAAAGCATCGCTTGAGTTTTGAAGGTACTGAATATGAGAAAGCATTTTGATTAACAATATTTTTTCTTGCACTTTAATATGGAGTTTTAAAGCCTCTATCTAGAAAAAACACCCAGATGACAAGAAAAATAGCTAATCTCAGTGACAGTGAAACAATATGAGAATACTAGGTTCAAGATACATAACTGTTGCTCATACCACCATCACAAAAATTTCACTATGTATTTTAACTAGGTAGAAGGACGAAACCACTGTTTTGCCTAAAAGTAAATGATGAAACCTCATATGACCTAGCAAAGGCTTCTCTCCCATCAAGTCTGAGGTCTGAAGTATGATCAAAAATTTAAGCAGAAAACATTTCCAGCCAGTAATGAAAAGGGAAGAGAGAAACGGAAATAAAAATGGTGAGGTGCTGTGACTGATATACCCATAGTCCTCGATATCCGTACTCTCGACTGGGAGAATGATATTCAAAGGTATCAGAGTACCACAAATTTAAAAGATTGTAAAAATCAATGGGATAAGTTAAGAACAGGTGTGATTCTACAAGCTTTAAATAGTCTTACTAATGGGTCATACATTACTTACTTTTCGTCATCAATGATGAGCCAGTTCAACTCAGAAAAATTAACAAAATATTCATTTCCCTGAATATTTCCATGTCTCCTTTTGGAAATCCTTGTTTCCCAAGTGAATTTTTTTTTTTTTTAATGTGTACTTTCCAGGAAGTTGCATTCCTAAAATAAAATATGTAAATTCAATTTAGAAACAAGTCATGAGTCTTTGTACATTCCAGAACACAGATCCAATACTAGGGTGGGTAGAGCAGGAAAATACAAAACAGACATTTCATGAAGCTCTGGAGATTAGAAATCGTGCAGCTTCCATATAATTCAAGAGCTACCCCAGGGAAGATGAAACTAAGGAATAGATAAGTACCTACTGCAAAGCCTGAAAGAAGATCACAGCTGCCCACAGGCTGAAGACAAAGCTGACCATGTTATCAGCATCATTTTGACAAAACCAAAACAGAAACTGAAATAAATATATTGATTTTGAGCCAGAAAGACTATGCTCCGTCAGTCTTTATCTTTTTCTCAGAGCTTTTAAAACTGGTATCAATTATTTTGAGGCAAATTTCTATATACAATACCTCAAAATCATTTCATTTTCTTTTTACTTCTCCTTTTTGCGGATGAAATCACTCTTTTCAGTCCTCAGGTTATGAACTAAAAAATCATAAATTGCATACATCCTTCTTCTATCAGCTTTCACAGCAAATAGCATCATCTATTGAAACCTGTCCCAGAAGCTACCTTCACATATGGTTCATTCTCCTCTAGCTTCTAATCTAAGATTATAGCAGAAGGCAGAGGTAAAAGCCTTCATGTGGTCACCGTACTAAGAACTATAAAGCCAACATACTGTTGCATAAACAATCATGTAACAACAATAAATTTATGTATATCCTTTTTTAAAAGGAAGTAATATGGCAAATTCCATTATCTTCTAATTAATTCAGGCAAACAAAATAACATGTTTGTACTTTGAATATTATACATACATATCTCTGATAGTTTTATTACATATCCTATGTAAAGCAATATTTGAATCATATCGTTATATTCATAACTATATCCATGTTGGGTATTGACTTCTGCTAGGAGGCTAGACTTGCAGGAGAAGGAAAATGCCAAATCTTGCAAAAGCAAGTGATAGAAAAATACAGACATTGCTATTTCAGGCTGACCTTTAGATCAATGACCTTCTTCTGCCCTAAAGCATCTGTCAACAGGAAGTGCCACAAAACACCATTGCTAACCTTTGGTCTTTAATTCTCCTCTCTTACTATGCCCTGCAATTCAGGTTACATCTACTCTCCCCTGAGCCATTAAAAAACTCCTGGATTTAGCCCATAGGGCATTTATTGCATCTCTCACTTTCCAGTATTTGAAAAGCCAGATGGCAACGGTAACGCTCACTTTCTCTGACGTAATTTTCTTGGATAAAAATAACTGTCAGTCTGCATGGTTTTTAACAGTAAATAATGAATTTATTCAGTGCTACAAACAAACCAGACTGAGTTTTAGAAAGAATCAACAATATCGAAATCTGCCTGTTTTAAAACTTCACCAAATCTGCCGGTCAGCAATGAACTACAGATTGCCAACCTGCCATTTCAAATGAAAAACACCTCCAACATTCTTGAATAGCGTGAATGAAAGTTGGGGTTTTTTCCTCCTTCTCCTTCCTCACTTATTTTGTCCTTCCTCACTTATTTTGTGGATGCTACTTTATTAGAACTTGAATTTAAAGTTCATCCCAGTATTCATGACAGATAGACAGATATATACAGTGACAACCTCAAGTACAGTGCCATCACTCACACTGATAGGACTTTTGCCTAGCAATTTAATCTTGTTCTGACTAGCCACAAGGCAGCTACATGTAATTAGTGAATAGAACAAAATTTAGATTACTTTTATATTAAATTGCTTTATAAGCAAAGGCACAATTTTCTGAGAAGTCTCTTTTGAGTTTTGCTCACATAGGAACATCAAAGCCCAAGTAACGAAATGAAGATGTAGACTCAGAGAAAGATTGATCATACAAAAAGGTAGAATTTTTTTATCATGTGTAGAGTGAGACTGCAAACAGATATGATACAGGATTTCATATGATAAAATTAAAGCAGCTTGGACTTAAAGAGGGCAAAGGATGTTATAACAGCCCTATTCTATAAGCAGAGCAGTATTCTGAGATTTCAGGACAATTGTTTAACAACCAAAGGCTTTGACTTTGCTGTTTAGCTTTTATCCAATGGTTTATCTTCTCCTAACCATTAGGCAACTTTCTGTTAAATCACTTACCCACTATATAAATTAATGGTTCTGCCATTCTGAGGTATGTTTATATGCATAAAGAAAACTGTTGAATTTACTGGAAGTCTGAAAGCACAGGCACTCAAAGTGAAGTAGATGTGCAGCTGGGAAAGAAAAGAAAATATTTTTTAAAAACCCACCAAAAAAACCAAAAAAACAGAACCAAAACATAAATTAAACACATACATTTTTAAAAATAAAAATCATTAAAAATAAAAAAAATATCATTAAAAATACATTTAGAGCTGTGATCATCCTCTGTGTTGTGAACATGGTTTTGTAGGCACAGCTACACTTTAAACAAATATATGAAAGTTCAGTTCTTTGTTTTAGAGAGAGGTTAGTATTCCTATGGCAGCCATTTGCAGAATATCCATCTTATGTGTAGAGCAAGACCAATTACTTCCTGTTTGGTGATTTTTTTAATATTATAAAACAGTCTTAATCACAACACTTAACATTACTTCTAGAATATCCTACAGAATCTCCATTCTGAAGTTTTACGTTCTGGCAGAATTTTTCCTTTAATAGAATCTATGTAGAAAAGTGGATGCTTCAATGGAGCATCCCTGGACCTTGCCATACAATAGTGAATGGGATGGTTTTGGTCTTGCATCACACTCCAAATAAAGAGATAAATATCAATAATGATTGCAGTCATGTAAACAGATTGATATCTTTTTAAACAGGTCAGTATAATTCTTAAGTTTACATCATTACACAAAAACAATATCTTCAGAAAATGCCTACACAGAAAAATAACAGATTTTTTCATACAGCAGTATGCTTTTTAGTTTTAGAGCACAGTTTATAGGAGTGAAAAATGCAAGTAAGCCTCCCACGTAAAATACATTTTAAAACCAACCATGTGGAACACTCTCCTAAACTTTACATAGAGAAAAACAAACCAGGACAGCATTTAAATACTTCTAGTGTCAAAATGTTAGGTCTTTGATAATGGGTATATGTGAGAAGGTTAGCTACATCTATTTTAATATTTTTGACAAACATTTCTAACCTGCTGAATGAGCACCTTCCTCTCTTTCTCATTTTCAGGAGAGAGACAGAGGTTATGAGCTGTTTAAGGGTCCAACCAGAGGTTGCCCTTTCTATAATTGGTGCAAAAATCTATTTTAAAAAATGATGTATCTTAGCTGATTATCTTACCTTAGCTGATGTAGTTATTTCTTTAGACAGCTTCAGGCTTGCAGTAGCCAATTTCCTCTGGAATATCAATTTCTGTGAGCAGGAATGAAACATACATCAAAGTAAATAAAAAGGATGACACTTTTAGAATTAAGTAACCACTATATACTTTAAATCTTTAGTCCAGATATTACTGCTAAGTTCATTTGTTCCACAATTATAATAATTTGTAACAAACATTTTTGATTTTCAGTCAAAGAATTTTTAATGATTTCTAAAAGATGCAAGATTAGACCTGATCAGAAAATTTTCAAAGCAAAATGACAATTTTTTAAAATAGAAGCTCTTCAGAAGAAAAGATTGCAAAATCTTGTGCCAGAAATAAACATCCTGTGACTCCAAGATATTCTTGACCACACCAGGATGACACACTATAACGTCTTGCTGATGCTCAGTGTACTTTCAGACCATGAATCTCAAAGTCTTGGTTCAAATGAGAGACAAGAACTATAGACTTCTATGAAACATGTCTGGATCAATAACTTCTGTCAAAGGGTTTACATTTTGCATAGAAAAAGGACAGGTGAATTCAGCCAGACAAGGGAATGGGACTAGTCCTCTCTTTCATGCACATAGAAAGATGGACTTCTCCAAGAATTTTTTTCTGTAGTGTGCAGTAGGAAAAAAAAAATCAAAATTAAGTAAGTCCTGCTATGATCAACACTAAACCATCCCTTTCACAATTTCTACACAAGGGTTGTAACTAGAGAGCATTAACATCAGGTTCCTTCAATTTTACTGGAAATCACTGTTAAACATCGTAAATATTTCATCAAATTTCTTGTAATCTGGGACACTGCATTAAAAATATTTAAATGAGTATCTGAAAAAGTGGTTAACATAAAACCTCAATTTAAAAGTGACTGCAAATGATAACTAACAAAAAATTAAACTGAAGACAATATATATATACACACACTTACTTGTGTCCTCAGGTAAACATAGCATAAAATTTTTTTTAAATGGAAACAAAAATATGCAAATTTAGGTGACACATGCATGTGAATTTTCTGATATGTTTAAATATACTACTAAAAATCTGTGTTCTCCATGGAAAATTTTGAAATATTTTACTGAAATTTTTCCCAGTTTCAGATACCAAACATGAAAAAGCAGAAAGTAGCACCAGAGAATTAGCTGTCAATTGCAATAATGGAACAAATATTGAAAACAATTTAACAGGATCATTCCTATCTTCTCTGTTCTCTTCAACAACAGAAAAGTTTTGCATTTCTGTTTCTCTGCCTATTTTATTTCCAAATGTAATACAACCTGATTGTTTCGTAACTTCAATAATTTATATTTCAAATAAGGTTTACAGTGTAGGTAGACAAAGAAAGGGAGTAGCAGAAACAGAAATCCCACTGACCAGTGAATCATCTATACATTTAATCTATAAAAATGATCTAGTTTTATAGATTAAATGTACAGAGAATTAAAAACCTCTCCAGAATGATAATACTGAGGATAGGTGGAAGAAAGACTGTAGGGAGAGACAAGGTTCAAGAGTTCTAGGCTAAGAATCAGAAGACATTTATTGAAATCTATGATTAGAACATGTATTCCTATGTAACTAGGACACTTCATGCAAAACCACCAGATGGACACAATTCCTAAACAGCATGTAAGAATTAGGAGCAATGATCAGAGATGCTACATTATTTTTCCCCTAGAAGAAAAATCTTTACACAACACCAAGAGTCCAGAACCATAAAGCATTTAGAGAGAGACATAAAGCAGTCACATGTCTTAAGATAACTTCCAAAAGTGTGATACACAATATTGCATCCCTACAAACATGTAGCTATGCAGTCTCAGTTGTATTGAGGTGCAAAATGTACTTGGACAGCTCAGCTATTAATATCACCATATTTTCTCCCCAAACTCTACCTATAGTACCTGATTCCCAGACAAGATGATCATTATATTAATCTGGATCTCATTTTTCATATATAAACACAAATTTTACAATGCATGTGACTTCCCAGAGCTCAAAGAAATGCCCAGACACACCTAGGAAGTGAATATAGCTTCCAAGAATGGCCCCTAGCTTTTCTTACAACTCATTTTCCTCTCATAATTTTAAGTCTTTAATAAATGAAGATCAGGAGAAAAAAAAAAAAGGAAAAAAGCCACCCAAACAATACCATTAATTAACAAAATCATAAAAGGAAACAAAAATTTACTGATTGTATATCTCAAAATTCAACCAAGGCTGGGACAAATCATTACTTCAAGTTCACTTCATAGGAAGGCATAGTAAATGCATTCCTATGAAGTCTGCTTTATAAGAAGGTACACTTCTGCATGCACACTTTCTTTTTAGAAAGGTCAATTAAATGCCAGCAGTGTAACTAAAAATGAGAAATTGTTTAACATTCAGCTGTTATACCTTGCCTGTTGGTATACATTACACTTAATTATACACTTCACAGTCATTTCAGAAAAAAAATTCATAAAACATTTACAAAATATGTTCAGCCTGTTAGTCATAACTACTTTTTTAAAATACTTTCAGAAATACAAATAAGTGGAAATTTACTCTACTTATTTAAATTGGTTTGAGTCCATAAAGAGTCAGCAGACAAAATATCTTAAAAGCCCCTGGAATACCCATTGTATCTTCAAAGATACAATTACGAATGAATAAAATAAACTATCATATATTTATGAGATTTTTTTTCCTTGACAATCTATAGCTGCTATTGAAGGATTTAAAAAATAGTAAATGCATTCCTATGAAGTCTGCTTTATAAGAAGAAAAATGCATATTTTGTAAACTGATGCAACTTCTGATAAGCTGGCAGGAAATGCCAGAGGGGAAATCACAGACCACCAGGTGTTTTTTGCACAGTAGTCAATAATACTGTCTGTATTCAAAACATTGTCTCTGATGTGTTTTTCTACTTGGAAATATCCCACAAATCATAGTCCAAAAGATAATCTGTTATATTATAAATTGTCATTTTCAAAGTTACCCAGTGTACAAAACATGTTACTAAGGCCCAACTTCTCATATCCTCAGTCTCACCAGATATCTTCTTTTCGGTCAGTCGTGCAGCAAGATGACATTAAAACAAAAGAAAGGACATTCAAACCTTTCCATAAAGGATTTAAATCAGCACAGCAGCAAGAGAGCCCTCAAATGGGCCAGCAGGAAGCCAATAAGAAAGCAGATACTTATCAGCCAACAAGATAAATCAGTCCTGTATTTATTTTATCAATTTAATTTTGTATTCCAGGATTTTTCAGAAAATTTTTGTTTCTTTTCTAGCCCTTGTGAAAATAACTGTTCACTTATTCAGTTTTGTACTTCTGGCATTACCCTTGAGAAAAACCTCTATTATTTTATAGAAATCTACATGCAATGAAACACCTTTAGGTTCTCAAGAGGTGGATGGCACAATGGCCCTCCAGCAGTCCCCCAATTCCCCAGCAGTGTGATCAGTAGTTCTGTGAATTCAAGTCACCTTTGCAGAAGGGTCATCCACAGGCCCCCTGGGCTTACTGCAGAAATTATTCCTAATTCACTGGAGCACAATATTAATTACAAGAGAGCATTTGTGACTTCAGCCCTCACAAAAATATACGCATCAATATGCTAAAAGACAAAGTTTGATTTATGCCTGTGTATGCTTTCAATCTTCTTCCTCATTTGTTTTTATCTTAGCAGGATAATTAATTAGTTTTATACCATCACTGTGTGTAGGCTGAAATGCAGACCCAGGCTCTTTCCATAGAGTTATTGGAGACAGTAAAATTGTCTGTGGGCACTGTAATAGCAACAAAGGTGATCCTGTTGATGTGACACCCTTTGACCTGATGTAAGGTGTTTCCTTGGTATGCAATGGCAGCACTTGCCTTTCCAGATATTAGAGCAGCAGAGTTGTAGGCAGAAGTCAATGCCTGAACCAAGAATCAATAATGCTTAGGGAAGGATTCTTCAGTTCAGGGAGTGAAAATAGTCCCTTGATCATGAATCAGTCATTTTAATTAGGCATTACTTGACATCTTCACTCTTCTGTATCTTCATTCTTCCATATCTTCACTCAAGATCATGAGTAATCAAGTGACTTATTTTGTTAGCCTGCACACCAATCAAATTCATTTCCATAAGTCACACACACAGGTTTGGTAGTAGAGTGCCTGTGACTGAGTTTCCAAAATGTCATTGACATTTGAGTGGGTTGACCCTGGCTGGATGTCAGACACTCACCAAAGCTGCTCAATTACTCCACTTCTCATCTGGACAAGGGAGAGAAAATATAATAAAGATTCATGAGTTAAGGTCCAGGAGATATCACTCAGCAAATACTGTCACAGGCAAAACAGATTCAAAGTGGAGATATTAACTGAATTTATTACTAACAAAATCAGAGCAGGATAATGAGGAGCAAAATAAATCTTAAAAATATCTTCCCCCTACCTCTTCCTCCTTCCCCCTTCTACCTCCTCCCCCTCAGAGATGCAGGGAGGCAGGGCATGGGGAGTTATGGTCAGTTCATCACACGCTGTTTCTGCCACTGCTCAGGAAGAGGAGTCCTTCCTCTACTGCACTGTGGGGTTCCTCCCATGGGAGTCAGTTCTCCATGAACTTCTCCAATGTGAGTCCATCCTACAGGCAGCAGTTCCCCACAAACAGCTGGAATGTGGGCCACTGTCACAGGATGCTGTCCTTCAGGTATGTATTTTATCTATAATAGAATAAGAAAAACTACATGACAAGATAAAGTTGTTAACAAAGTAGATTGTTCAATATTTTGCTTTTATTTTTACTAGTGTCTCTTCTCACTTAGAACTATATTGACTGTGTGCCATTCACATGATATACAAAAATTTTCATCTACTTCAAGAGAACGTCAGTTAATAAAATCTGTGTACTGGTTTCTACTACAGGTTTCATGAAGCAGATTTATATGCATTAATACTGATTATTGCTGAGGACAGGCCTCTAGATGGTGGCCTCTTGCATGGGAAATGTTCATCTCCCTTGTACATTCTATTATTAATGTTCCTGCTGTTATTGTTCATTTATTATTATTTCATTGCTGTTTCCAGTAAATTGTTGCATTGTATAAAAAAAGCTCTATTGTTGTATGCATAAATTGTTGTATTGTATAAATAAGCTCTAAAACCAGATAAAGAACATTTTTGAGCAGTTTGCTTTCACAGATGAATAGATGCTATAATTCAATGAAATTTACTGAAATAATGGTTCTTATTTTAGCATGAAGATATTAAAACAAATGAATGCAAAAAAAATCTTTTTTAAGTGCATTTGATGTTCTACAGTTTACCTCAGTATATCAACACACATTCATCAGTCAGCAAGTGCACACTTAGAAACGTCAGTATGGCTTTTCATTTTCTTTGGATACAAAAACAAATGTTTTGAAACATCTACACCAAGTCTATTTGTCCCTCTTCTAAGGCACTCTCAAGATCCAATGAGTCTGAGGTTCTTTCTGACCCTTACACTTATGAAATACACCATTTCTACAAATAAATTTACAGTATTTTTTGCCTTTAGGAAATTCACTGCTAACCTTAAAGATGGAAACAGAAAGAAAAAACACCTTATTAAGGAAAAGTAATACATTTCAGGTGCAAGCAATGAGTTTCCTACTTCATTTTTTCAGCTGTTGACCCCAAGATGCTCTGTGCTGGAAAGAGCTGTGAGCTTTCCCTTCCAAGATTTGTAAATAGTGTAACATTGCAATAATTAGTTATAGTAGCTTGGTATCTACAGTTAGTCCTTATAATCAAAGAATCTTATCCAGTCACTATTTTTGGATAATCATAAAAAAGCTATATGCAGAAGTTTACTTTTGCAAACTTTGGGTACACAGTGCACTTATATCTTAGAGACTTCTCAGCCTACATTTAAAGGCTTTTCAGATAATAATCATAATACTAACCCACCACTTTGCAACAATGTTACACACTTTACAAAGAGCTAGATATATTATGTCTTCTGTATTTTTTAAATATTGTTTAAAAATTTACACCATCACATATATGTTTTTATTCAACAGCTATTTGTTTCCAGTATGGCTTGGACTTAGACAGTTAGTCATTCTAAGCATTCACCTTCCCCTACCTCAGGCTCCTGGCTATATGAGCAATTATACTGCATTGTCTCTGATCCCTGACCAAAAGGACATCTTTATATTTGTAAGGAGGACAGCTTAAAGCAACATCTGTCTAGTACAGCAATATTATTTACAGCCTTCTGTTAAAGATTTTAACATTTGCAAGCAAACCTTAGGTGACATGAAATTACAGTTATGTTTTCAGTCAAATAATTCAAAATAATAATGTCTCATTTCTGTGACTATCTGCCATTTACTATCATTATATCCATCTTCTTATTGTCACATTTTCTGATATTAAATTATTATTCCCATTACAAATTTGCTACTATTTTTCAGGTAGTGCTCTAATGCACTAATGCCACAGGCCCATAGATAGATAACATGCTAGAAATGTGAGGGATAACGACCATCCGTGAAAGCTCCTAAGCCACACAAAAGGTATAAGCTGTTTACAAGGAGCTAAGGGCAAGATAGAAGGTTATACCCCAACAAATTAAACAAGCAATTTCTATTCTAGCCTTGATTCTCCTATGTGAGCACAGACAATCACAGCTTCTATAGGCATTGGTTTTCTTGCTGTATCATGTTATTTTTCTATAGAAGACAGACAGGATTTTGCAATGATTTACAGGATAAGCAACAAAATTCACTCAGACAGAACTGCAGTGCCAAGCAAGCAATTAATGTGTGGTGTTTGAGTGCTGGATTATGTCTCCAAATGAGTCACGTATGTCCCCAGCCCCTGGTATCAGCCATGAGCAGGACTATTTTTTGCTATAATAGTCAGTGACACAGTTACCTGCCAACACCATCAACTTGCAGGGGCATCAGAAATTTGGATTCCAGAGCAAGATCCCATATTTATTAAACAAGGCTCTGTTGCAGGTAATATTCTAGCTTTGTGATACATTAAAGCAGCACAGACAATTGCAAGAAACAAAAGCACTTTTAAATGCTGGGTGTTTTTTCACTGCTGTTAGTTAGTCTGCGATTTGACTGGCTTTTACTTCATTGTTTACAATTTCCAGTTGCTTATCAAATATATGCAGAATACAAATTTCAACGTGTGGATTGCTTATAAATGGTTGACAGTAACAACTTTGGTTTAAATAGGTTTTATTCTCATGAATATTCAATCATTTGTTTTTTCTACATCATGTTGTTTTCTTTCCTGTCTGGGTGACATAATAATTTGAAATGGTTCTGCTTTCTTTCACATCTAATGCTATTTTACACACAAAACTTGGAATTGTACCCAAAAGTGCATTTTCTTGAATAAATTTCCCTGTATAAATATGTGTGCGGGGGGGCAGGGGAGGGGGGCTAATTAAAAAGCCCATATACACAGGCAGGCCCAGATTGTATTGGGAAGGCAATGAAATTGCTCCCTTGCTGCACACTGTGAAGGGATCTAAAAATGGAAACTGCTGTGCTACTCTGTTAATGGAACAGGTTATAGTACAATTCAAGACCTTCCTCTCTTTTTCAAAAATGACTATGGCTTGAACGAGAAAATTATCTCTTTCTCCTGAAATGCACATATAGAAAGTGATTTGCTTTCTGTCCTTCATTACAGACAGGTATGGATCCCACTTAAATCTGCCCAAACTGAAGATAATCAGAGTGGAAAATGCTGGGAGATGGCAGGCTCACAGCCTACCATGTTAATGCAAAGCTTAGACTGTTTTTCCCAGTGGATCAATTTACATTTATCTGTATTAAATTTTGCCTAACACTTCATTCATACCCGGATCTTGTAAAGCCCTGTTATGAGTCTGTGCTGCCTGCCACTGACCCTCCCAGTACCTTGAATAACATAGTATCATCTGCACATTTTCTCTCTGTCTCTGACCAAGTCATTAATTGGTTTATCTTTCAGCCAATGACTCATCCATGTTACAATCTTTCCTCTTGCTCCACCAATGCCTTAAAAGCTCTAGGAGAAGGTTTGCCTTTTGGAAACTTCAGTACATTATTTCAGCAGACCAAATCATCCCATTGATATGCTTGCTGCTGCTGCTCTGAAAGAACTTCAAGAAGACATAAAAAAAGCACAACCTCTGCCAACAGAGCTGTGCTGAAATCGGCCCTTCACCAAAGCTTCTGCTGTTCTGCCCAGTACAGGATTCAGAATGGCAGCCTATGCTTCCACACTTTGCTCCCACCAAAATTTTTTATTTAGGATGTAAGAGTTGCCATTCTCCTGTCTCTGGATACCAGGGCTGCTCCAAAGGGAGCCTACAAGCACAATCTGCTTCATACTTCAACTGTGTTTGAACTAGTATGTGAAAATTAACCAGCCTGATGATTTGGGGGGATTCCTTCCATCTAATTGTACCATATACTCTTCTGCAGTCTGTGTGTTTTTAAAAAATCCTTTTCTTGACTCCTTTTTTCCTGTGTTAGAGCCTTACAGGGTGCAAACGTTTTTGCTTCTTCCACAATGAACATGAATACATGAAACTCATGGAGCTTCCCTGAAATGGCCTCATGCTCTTTGAGTACTCCTTCTACAGTCTGGCTATCACAGTACAGGCCATCTGGTAGGCTTCTTTTCCAAACACACTGCAAAAATTATTTTGGTTTTAGTTTTGTTCCTTTAGCCAGGTTTTTCTCACTTCTCCTTGACTTGCAGAACAATATTTTATATTTAAGCTACCAACTTTTATGATATCTACTTTTTTCTATTTATTTATACTTGCATTTATTTTATTCCTGTGATGGTTGTCAGGTACAACCATTATGGAGCCCTTGACAGTGATCACAAGGATAGTGATCACTGTCTGTGATATATATATATAATATATAATATACAGGTCTGTGATAAGCCATTCTGTATGGCATGATCCTCCTGACCAGGTCTGTACAATGAGAATTGCCTCCTCTTTGTAGTTATTATCATCTCAGATTATAACCAAAAGGCACATCCCCAAGCTTTTGCTTTCTTTCTGCCTACAGAAATATTTTTTAACTCTGGCAGCAGACTCGCCAATGAGTCTTGACCACCCAAATCCAGGTCAGTCATGAACTGTGGAAAGAAGCCATGCAAGCATAGACGGCTATATATAGACACCTGATTCCCATCAACACAAGCTAACAGAAGCATGTCAATTGCTCTAATTAGTTTGCCAAAGTTTAGCTAAATTTAGGATTCACCAATTCTGGAAGCAGTGCAATTCTCAGCTAAGTCAAGCCATTTATGTAGTGTATCAAGAGAGGTTAAGAAGTCAAAATGTGTCTACCAGAATGTTGAAAATTTTTCTTTTCATGCCTTCAAAACAAGTAATGAAAATCAGATATATTTTCCCCAACAGAAGGAAACATTCTCTTGTATGAGAAAGAGTAAAGGCACCAACTCTATTCCAAATGACTGTCTCTACAAATATTCCAAATGATATATATATATCTATATCTGAGGCATACCGGGAAATACACTAGCTATACATTTATGTAGTCACTCCATAAAGGATTCAGTATTCTTTCAGATTTTGCACTGCATATAATAGCAACTGGCATGATGTCACCACCCAGCTGGTTAAAACTAAAAGAAAGGGCTCTTCTTATTCATTGCCAATTGTATCCTGTAATGATAATGCATTCATTTCCCAGTTTTGTATAGCATCTTATGATTTTTTGGTAACTATGGAAACTATTCATTTTTGTTTGAATAAAAATGTGTTATAATGCCATGCAACTTGCTGGCATATAAACTAAGGCTGCCTGCTGAAACTAGGATGCCAGAATTTGGTTTTCCCACTTAGCTTTAAATTGACGTGTTTGCTCTTGGTGAAGAAAGGGCCTATCTTTGCTAAGGAAAAAAAAGTATTTGTCCTGAGTAGGTGGAAAAGGTCATTCAGTTCAGTGCACAAAGCACAGGTGCTGATGACTGCTGACTGAGGAGTGAGTCAGTCAGGCTGAGCAAAGAAAATACTGGAATTACCTTTTACTAAGCTCTGGCATCAATACCAGTCAAGAGAAAAGAAAGAGGAAAAAAAGAGGAAGAGCTATGAAATGACAGCTGAAGCTTACCTGCATCCTAGAGAGAGCAGCTGGATTCCCAGTCATGAGAACACATTTCAGCAGCTCTGGCTTAGGCTGGCGTGTGTAGAATCACTGATGCAACACTCCAGAGCTGACTGTCCTGCTGTCATTCTTCAGGCCAGTGTCATCTCAACCCTTAGAAAATACCTGCTAGCATCTATTTCCTCCTAAAACAAAGTCCTTGAATTTTTATTACTTTTAATAATAAAAGTTCAGGGACTTTGTTTTAGGAGGAATTTCAGGCTCACATATTAAAATAGATTAAAGCATCACAACAGTAGATTTTTTTTCTTCCTAATTCACTTCCATCTGTATCTCTTTTGTTTTCTTAGAAAAGTAGGAGACTTTATTCAAGTCAGTTATTGCTAGAAGGTACAATTTTACTTCTTGTATTGTGTCAGCTGTTTACATTTCCAGTACACCTGAAATTTCAAATACATCCTTGGTTAGCTGGGCCCTGTTCTGGTCTCTCATCAGTATAATACAGAATGGTAGAATAATTCAGGTTGGAAGGGATTTCAGGATATCCTCTGGCGCAACCTGCCATTCAGAGTGAGGAGCCAAATTTATTTCAGACCAGGTTGCTCAATCCAATTTCAGCAGCATTCCTCCTAAGGTATCTGGGTAGAGATAAAAGAAGAAACTGCCTGCAGCAAAAGTAATAAATTGATAATTTAATGAAGGACATTACAAACCAAGGTTAACATAATACTCGTATTTCTTCTTAATCCAAACAGTAGTTTATCTTGAAATATTATCTCCAGAATTACTTTCAGAATTCCCTATCCAACATCATTACTAAGTTTCATGGCATTACTTCTCCAGATAAAGTTCAGTATGTGTATAAATTTCATGTGAATTGAAACCTGAAAGATTCATACCCTTTGATCTTTTCAAGGCATCACTAGAGCATTATCTTCCCAAGCATTAATTAATAATGAATGCTTTATTCATCAGGAAGCTAGGGTAAGCAAATTTTTTCACATCCTTCCAGTTCCAGGATCCAAATTCTATTACAAAAGCTTAGGACTACCACAGCTTCATTTCCAAATGCTTAAGTCTCTTAAAAGCAGAATTGATGCAGCAGGATGTTTTAGTATTATTACTTTTCAGATTAAGGTAAAACAAGTATCTCTGTTTGGTTTCCTTTTCTATACTACTTTACATTAGCTTTTTATTTTGGAGGTAAAAACCCAAACATCAATGTTTCAGTAAATTGCTTCAATACAGCTAGACAAAACATTAGATCTCACAAATATCAGCAGTAATTTCCAAGCTAAATTCGGTTGAGGCTCAAGACAACCAAAATCATTATTTCCTGAATTTTAGATTCTGGTATAATTGTTCAGTGGAGATATAATAGGTCAATGAAAGGTAAATAACACACAAGGGAATTTTAGGAAGGCCAAAGTCAGTTTTGACAAATCTACTAATCTATGTATCATGCACTTGGGAAGAGCTTTGACTTGAAAAAATTTTTGTCAGAGTCAGAGGTCACTGCTTCAGTGATTCTGTCTTAAATCTTACAAAGCTTAATGGAAATAATATCAAGTGCAGCATTACTTGCTCTAATTCACAGGAAAATGCCAAAGCAAGGAGGATTTTGCCCATCAAGCATCTGGGTGAAATATAAGCTAAAATCTTTCCTGTATTTTCCTTCAGTGGGGCATGATAGCAGATAAAATGCAGTTTCCATTCATAAGAATTCATCACAAAAGGAAAAATAAAGGCAGGAGAGAGATTATAGAGAAACTATGCAAAAGCATTCAGACCCTATGAACAGGGAGGAATTTTGTCTCCTGTTCCCAAAGGTCAAAATTCCTGACCTTGACATCACTCCCAAAAAAACTGTCTCCCCATGAAAAAAAGCTTCCCCACACAGTCTGTGCATAAAGCCTACTAAAATAAAGTCTACAAATATAAACTAAAATAAAGTCTACAAATATAAACTAAAATAAAGTCTACAAATATAAACTTTGCTCCCCATTATTTTGTTTCTGAAAATGGTCTAGTCAGTGAAAATTTCCAGTAGCAGATGGAGACTGGGAATAATAGCTAATTCATGTAGTTCTGTTTTTTTCAGGAGACTGAAGAGAGTGCTCTAATCCATCAGATTTCTCTGTGGAGTGAGAGAAGCAAAGTTTCACATCAAAAGTATGAGCATCACCACCAGGAAATGGCAAGTGTTACTCTTGGTCATGTTTTTTTTTTTTTCAAATTCAAATTGTCCAATGGAATTTGTGCAGATGCATAATTCATGCACAGTGAGATTAGGGATATTTTGGGATTATATGTTAGTGCTCAAAATACTTTTTCTACCACTTCATCATACCCTACAAGTTATGTTAACTCCTTATGTTAATTTCCTTAGACAACTAAGTAAGTAAAGAGAAATAAGAGCTAAATATGTTGAAGTTATCTATACCATTAGTCAAGACTCAACAACAGTACCAGTAGAGTGGTACTTAAATTTGGAAAAGATCTATAAGTCATTTTGGCTATGGTAAGGAAACCCATGATCCAAACCATAAAAGTAAGTAATAAGTGACAAGATGACAATTAAGGGAAAGTTAGGTTAATAGTTGGTGTAGGGAACAGTCTCTAGAAGACAGGATTAAGTAGGCTTTGAAAATCTTTCTAGGATTCAAAGCTGAAAACTACAAGTACACGTTGAACTGAATCAATTAGAAACACCATTAATTTAGTTTTGTAATTATATCCATTTAGGACATCAGATTTATATACTTTGCTCAATACATTTACTTCTGATTCTCAGTTTTTTCCACTGAACATGAGTCTAAAAGACAAGAAATACAGCAAGCACACTTGGACTTTCAGGACTGCAATCTCCATTTACACAAGATTCCCATTGATGTAAGCAAGAATAAGGTGAAATACAACCTTCTGCACATTTCAACATCTACCAGTAGGACTTATAATTCAGGCGGAGGGGAGCTGAAACTAAAACATGATCTAACCAGGAAAGAAAAGCCAAAACCACAAAATCTATTATTGACTCATGTCTCAGTAAAAATGCCCCAAGAGCTTCTGCATCAATATGTGATTGGATCAGTCATTTTATTATTCTGAACACAGTGAAGATCTATAGGTCAGGAATAAGAATGTTTGCTTTATATTTTCTTGAGAGGTGAAACTTCTTAACTGAATCCTACACTTAATCATTTCCAAATCCCAGGCTATATCTGCTGATCCCTGTTTCGATTTAAAATAAAATTCATTTTCCGGTTTGCTGCATGACTTTTATTTCAGATTTGACTTAGAGATTTATGAACGTGATATAGCTTTTCTTGCTGAACACTTGAACAATCTTGGTCCCTGTGGTGACTTCCACATAGCTGCAAGTGGAAAGAAACACTCACTATTGTAAAATGATATGACATCCCTACCTCAAAAGCCAAAACAAATTTTTGAAGGTTGAAGTGTTCAGTTGCAGGAGGGATGAAAACACAAGGGGATCTAGACCTTGCAGTATTGTGAAAAGTCGATGCCAGTTTTCAATTCATAGCTTCTTAATTGAGAAACAGAGGGAATCTGGGCACACAATGAATCATTCCCTGTGTGGGGAAAATGGGAAAGGGGGAGACAGGCAGGTTATTGATTGAATCCACTGTTTCTCCTGTCACCACTCACTTAAATTTGACTCAGAGTACAATGATTTCTCCTGAAGATAACTGCTCCATGCTGCACCACACAATTTACCACAGAGGTAAATATATAGCAAATGGACCACAGGATTCTGAAGAGTTGAGCACAGCACAGCAGCATGACCCCATGCAGCATGGCAGCACTACTGTTACTCATCCTGAAGGGGTAGTGGCTTAGGCAATGCTGACTATTTACACACCCAAAATGTTTGGTACCTTAGCTTACAACACTCTTCACTATGCAAGTGACAAATGTGGCAGAGATGACCTTTTCTACTCACTCTAGTACTTGGGTATAACTTGAGGCACAAAATGGTCTGGAGCAAAGGCAAAATACAAGCCATGATGCTGAGATCCCTTGCTCTGTTGCTTGCTTAACTCTAGGGTTTTAGGTTTTTCAATGCCTAGAAACACACAGGTTTTTACCGGGCCAAATTTATTGAGTATACAGTTCACATTGACTGTGACTTTCAATAATGTGGGATGAATACACTCAGTGCACCCCATGGCCCTGTTTATTATGCCATACCAAGATTCCCATGGGAGCACCCTACATCTCCAATGCTGCTAACCGTCCAGCGCAAAGCCTCCATTAAAAAAAAAAGTATGTACTATGTATAGCATATATCTGTTTAATACACATTGAATTGCAGAAACTACAAAGGCATTTGGAGAACAAATGCAAATGACTTTGAGGCCAAATTTCTTTTTTAAAATGGCATTTGGTGTCTAATATCATGAGGACAGCACAGTAAGGGGCAGGTTTTTTCCTTGTTTTGTGGGCTTTGATATTCAGTGTCAGAAATTGTTAAAGGACTCAGTTTATGCAGATCTCAAACACAAAAGCAACCTATCCAAACATTAACACACTTCAATGCTATCAAAGATCATACCTCTGTGCACTTGTAATTTTAGCTTGAACTCAGATGTCTTAAAAAGGGACAGAAGGAATAAATTAAATGAGAAATGAAAATTATTTTCCAAAAATTCATTTGAAGGCAAATTGAAGACAAATAGAGAAAAATATGTGGGATACGGATCTAATTTTATCTAGAAAATACACAACTTTCAGAATATCAGGCATCTCAAAACAGTGAAATCAATGTCCAAAGTTAAAAAATAGATAAAATTCCTAATGAATAGCCAAAATACATTTTCACAGACAAAGCACTTGGAGGCTATGTATGTTGGAGATAGGTGTACTTTAGTTTTCAGATCTTGTACTTTACACAAAAATAAAATGGGATATTAATCACTAATTCACTGATTAATATAAAGTACAAGATTTCAATAAGCCAGTTAAAAATGTTGCCTCCTTTACAGTTCTGCTTTGCAAAGCACTTCCCAAATAATTAATTTCAAGCAACTTACTTCATTCTACCAGTATCTTCTTGACTATCCAACATTGCTCATATACTCCATTTCCAGAGCATTTCACTTCAAAATGAGATGAACAGAAGTGTGACTCATATACACCTAGGAGCACTGAACCATTTGGCACTTCCTTTATCACAAAGCAAAATCAATGTACTGAAAACCATTCTTGTATTACTTCACCTTATTCAAGGTATTGCAAATTACTCTTTTTCCACATAAAAAAGTAACAAAAATAACAAAAGAGAAAGAATTGATTATTCCGTTTTACATTTCCAAGTATTCTACAACCATTAATATTCAGAAAATCTTTTAGTTAGGAAGTAATTCCAGCACTTGATCTAAAATTGAAGAAAATAGCCCCATCAATCCTAGATATGTGGATATCTCCACAACTTTAAAAGTCTTAGCTTCATTTTGTATGTGACAAAGGAATATCAAATTAGACGCTTCTTACTGCAAAGCACTGAGACATGAGTTCTAGAATTCAGGATATTTTAGGTTAGAAACCAAGTCAGTCTAGGCTCCTGGTTTAAAACAGAGATAAACAGGGCTGTCCAGAAGACAGTTCACATCTTCAGTTAACTGAGTAGTAATCTGAAAATGCCATAATCCTCCACTAATTTTACCAGTAATTTATTGTAACAAGGATACTTAGGTTAAGTGTTTTAAGATCATAATGGATGAATAAAAGCCATATCACACATTTATCAGAAGAGGGAAAGATGGTTCAGCATCTTCCAAGACCTAGCCAAGCTCCTCTCTCCTGCCAAGATGGATCTTACAAAAATCATGGAAAGTGATCATTTACACCTCATTTGAAACCCCTCTCAGCATGACTGAATTATTCAGTAAAGCACAGAGCAAAAGGCTGCGGCAACAAGGACTGGACAGCCGAGCAGTCTTCCCCTCACAGCTTACCTAGCTCTTAGACACCAAAGAAATGTTAATCCAGGACTCCCAACATTAAGGGACTCCTTCCACACACCACTCTATCTTCAAAAACCTCTGACTCCTATTCAGTATGTTTTTGAACACAGGAGTGATAACAACAATAATCTAACACACATTTTTTTAGCAGTGATGAATATAGGTACTCAAATCTGAATGGGTCAGATGAAAATATCCTGATATTTCTCTCACTTTCTCTGACTGTCATTCAAAAATTTAAGATAAACTAGAGCAAGGAACAGGGTTGGACTAGTAAAGATTGATACAAAAATGGCAAACATAACTTGATCAAAGAGAGACATGTAACTAACAGCTTATATATGAGAGAACAGAGACATCACATCTCTGTGATGTATGAGACAAGTAAAGGAAATTTTAGGGGACAGACCAGCCATGGAGGATCAGATGACTTACTTAATTACATGGATATAAATCTGAGATAAGTGCCACTGACATTGGTTTCAAATACATATGTTTTAACCCAGATCAAAACCTGTCTAGTATCTAAACTAGATCTGAGATGATATTTTCTTTGCACTATATTCCCAAGCAATTTGAATGAAGAAGTGTTTTAAAGTAAGCATTCATATAATCTGTTCATATGTGACAAGTCTTGACCTTTCTTTACCTGACAAGGATGTGTTACATGCAAGCTGCATTAAGTCCTATTTAGATAAAAATCTGAGATGAATTTAAAAGAAACATATATATATATATATATATATATATCAAGAAAACAAAGAGGAAAAAAGTGCTGCAATAACATTAATCAAAACCTGTAGCAACCCCAAGACTTTGTGTCACTGTATGAAAAAGCTCTCTTTCTTTAAGAGGCTGATCAGGGTAGGATATCAGTGATTACCCCAGACCTTAGGTTTTAGGCCCCCAGCAATGTATGGATGAAGAAAACAGAACTAAAAAGGGATTTTTAAAGATTACCACCAAAGGTACCTCATAAATACAAAGTGCAAACTCTACAGAAGCTGTACTTCTGCTGCTAATGCTGTGGTTCCTGAGGTGGCCTCATTATTTTTTTCTTATACCATGGAAAAGCATTAAGGATCATGATCAAAGATATTTGCACCAAAGTTTTTTTTTTAAGTTTTTGGGTTAAGGGAACCAAGATTATACAAAAACATTTCCCAAGAATAGGATGAAGATGCATTTACAGTCTAATTTGAGTGGTATTTTCCAGTTGATGTGTCTTTTAACAAAAATATTTTGAAAGGGTCTGAAGACATAGCACAAAACCAAACCAGGATCCAGATCATCGGGCATCAAATAAGGTTCTCCAGATGCTATTTGCATTTCAGTAGTTTTGCAGCTGCTACTACTATAACATGAAATTTGTCTGAAAGATAATGAATGGCTCACCCCAAACATAATGAACAGCGACTCCTTGGTATATTATCAGATAACACAGGTAAACAAACACAAAGTTTAAAGGATTTTTAGGTCCCAATAACACAAATGCAAAGCCAAGCATACCTGCACCCTTCCAGGGACTGTCCCTTTTCTTACAAGTTTGTGCTATGCCCAGCACAAAGAGGACCCGTGGTTCCCACGTGCCTTTGGATCATAACAACTGCTCAGTAAAAACAAGGGCTAAGAGAGGGTACTTGTTAAACAGTAGGATTCTGTATTTTATGGAGCTTTGCTTCTGGCTCCTCTGATAAGGATAAGATGAGTTTCATGCTTAAAATAGAAATTCCAGATCTTTGCAATGCATCAAGGCATTTTTTGTCTAGTTTTAAAGCACTTATGCTGAGTATCCCTGAATATAAATGAATCCACTGAGAACACAAAGTGACTGTTACTCAGAAATAAAATTAGCTTGAAAATAGTTCCTTTAAAACCATAAAAAAAAAAATCTCTTAGATAATTTGTACTCATCTCAATTGTTCCAAGGATTTCAGTTGTCCCTGGCACATATGAAAACCAGTTCCAGTGGATTAGATTGTGCAGAGGGGAACATATGTGGCCCGAAGTTTAGAGTCCGACTAGCTGAGGGCGAAAGGCCGACGCCCCTCTGCAATTCCTGGCCAGCACCCTTCGGCGTCTGATGGCCTCGGGCTGTGCTGGCTGCGGACTGGCG